TAACGCGAAAACTGTTAGCGTTTATTATGGACAATTATAACTGTTTTGCAAGTATCGGGTATATAAAGACGAAACACGGACGTTAAAAACTTYCGAGAAAAATCTACTTTTTAGAACTATGAAAAATTAACCCATTTATATTCATTTAMAAGGTATTTATATAGTATGTTATATTCAAAATATGCGTTTTTGAATTCACAGTAGCAAAWGTTAAGCAAATGAAGAGTTGTAAATAAAAGAAATAAAGGATACGCGCGTGGGAGTTGTACGCGCGCACGGTGACGCGCGTTGTCTCAAGGCCGCAAGCCAGAATATTCTCTGGTGTTGTTAAGGTTTTGCGGACGAACCTGTCCAAACCTGTTCTATTGTTCCGTTTGATGTTTGCATCTGTTAGGAGTATAGAATGGTGTCTCAGAAATCGCGAGGCTCGCCAAAAATTGCCCAAGTCTCGTAACCTCGATCGGCGCCTAAAAGAAAAGGGCTCGGATTTAAAATTGCTTTTGGYCTGTTTGGCTCGGAAGCTCGCAATTGCCGAAATATCGGACTCGTTCAGCTCGGGCTCGAATTTTAAAACGAGGGGCTCGCAGGCTCGGCGAGGCTCGGATGTTACCATTCGATACCCTTATCTGTTTGCATGAACATAAATCATAAATAAGAAGAGCTGGAATTTTCATAAAGTAGCTTCATTAATCAAAAGAATGTTTCAATATAATCTGCTTATAAAGATGTTGTACAGTTTTGCAATTCAAACTGTGAACTGTCTGCTTGAACGTTCGATAAACCCCTCAGGGACCGCGGAGCTGGAATTTTTTTGGAGAGGGGGGATGCTAGCGGCGAAGAATTACTGGGGGGGGGGGGAATCTTAAATCTCGGGAATGTCATTTCCAGCGTTTTGAGTCAAGCAAATAAGATATAATATCTTAATAAACATGATGAATAAATGATTTATTAGTAAAATCGATACAATAAATTAATATAATGAAATAACGCTAGATCAAGATCAAGAAAGCTGAAAAAACAGACAAATAAAACCTGGAACATAATTTGACAACCGGAAGTACAAAATCTATTGGTCAGCGMCACTTTTTGCGGGCTCATAACACTTGGATCACTGTGTATAGGTAAACTTTCCTGACTTTGGCTTGTGTACGCCAAGAAGCCTGCAAAAATGCCTCCCATTCAGCAGCAAAGGAACCGAAAAAATTCTAAAAAGAATCCTGAAACTTCAAGTCAGGTCAAAAAGCGCAAAAAGTCGTTCAAAAATCAGCTAAGAGACGTACAGCGTTTACTTCGCCAGGTCTGAAGAGCAAAGCACGTGTCATTGTTTTAAACATGTGTTCATTGTGCTATATCAGAAGCTATACACTTTGATAGATATGCATTCAACTTATTCTGCATAGCTACATTATTTTTTGAGCTTGGAATTTGAAAAGAAGTTGTACAATACGAATGAGACGCTTCAAATCTGATATTGCGTGACGCACAACTGAATATGCGTGACAATATGATTTTTCTTGCAGAAAGACATACCAGCCACAGTACGCGTTGCKCAAGAACGAATGTTAAACATGTTAAAAGAAAATCTAACTGAAAGTGCTAAACAACAGAAAGAAAAGAAGATGTCGAAAAAGTAYAAAATGGTGAAATTTTTTGGTAATGAAAATTAATTTTATGGAAATTCTCTTTTTAGTTACAAAATGTGATTTTACTTGTCTTTTTCGTAGAAAAGAGAAAGATTTCTAGAATGTACAAGTCATGTACAAAYGAATTAACACAATGCAAAGATAAACAACAAAGGTATGTTGATTAAGATAATCATCTAAAAAATTGAACAAATAAGCATAAGATATATTTCACATCTACAATCATTGACAAAATACCATCAAAGTTTTGATGTTTTAGACCCTGTTTACATGAGACAGGGTGCCCCTACGTGGTAGGGCTAACTCTTTTGTTTTCTTTTCCCTGGAGGATTTAAAACAAAGGATTTTGTCCCTACCACTAGGGGCACCCTATCTCATATAAACAGGTTCTTAATAGTGCAATGTTTTAGATTCTTTATGATTTGTTTTTGAGTAAAGTATTTTGGTTCATGATGCAGGGAAGAGTTGGAGGACCGTTTAAAGCTGTTAAAGCAACAATGGAATTATATTACAGTAAGGGTGAAATGTATGAATTGTCCATCTGGACCAGATATACATGTACTTCACTATAAGTCTTGTATCAATGATCTATCACATTTTTGTYAATATACTTAATTCTAAAAACAATTTTTCAGTATTTTCCAAAAGATGAAAAGTACATCTCTTTGTTCCCACCAACACCATGCACCAACAAGGCAACACTTGACAGTCAGGGTGAGAACGTTTCTAGTAAACTATGTGAACATTGTATTATTACAATTATGTGCAAGTGAAGGATATGACCTCAGTGAAAAATGTTATGAAAGCTATAAAATTGTTATTCAACTAAGAGGTTTTACTGTAATGATCATGACATATTTTGTAGTTAAAGACCCTCATCCAAGAACATGATTTGCAATCATTCTTTGGTTTTAAAAATGATCCCACTTCAAAATGTGATTTCTGATTGGTCAAAAAGCAAAGGTGTAATAAATCACAAAAAGGTTCTTGGATTCACATTGGTGTTTAAATATAAAATACCATTTTGCTCAGTGTGTTCTGTATTTTGTTTTGGGTCCTGGCAGAAGAAATTCTCAAGCTTATAAATGACAAGATCGCTAAAGACGAAATAGAGGACACAAGTGACATGATTCTCCATTCGCCAAGAGACAAGAAAAAGATGAAAGGAAAGTCTGTAGGAAAAGAGATAAGGTTGTCTTCTCAACAGGACAATCAAGAACAAGGTATGGTGTTCGAATTTTACACTCAAAGTTCAGTGCGCATTTGTAATATTAGTATGGAGATCAGGTTGCAAAAATTCTATATTGTAGTTTCTATGACTTTCTCAGAGAAGTTTACTAGTTTAATAGTTTKGGCAGTTTTTAAGCTCTCATTTTATGRKATGGCTAAGCTTYAGKCTGCTCAAYWTCGAACATCTCAACATTGGAAATGCAGACCAAACGTAACACAGTTTACATTTTAGCTTTATTCCTATATGTTGTTGCTATTTCTTAGTGCTTATGTATTTCTTATTGCAGAAGATGAACCTACTTCTGTTCAATCTCCCATAGATGATTTTTTCATTGATACTACACCATCTAAGATAGGTAAGAATACCAATTACAGGACTTTTAGATAACTAGCTTGTTTTTATCTTTAAAAAAACTTATTATTTTTCAGTGAATAGTCCTACTAAGAATGATCAAGAACAGGCCGAATCTGGTCCTTCAGAGGTATAACATAATTTTACAATATATATAATATCAAAGAGGCAAGATTTTGCTGTAACTCCGAGTTTCGTGCTACGCACTCATCAGACAGTATTTAATGATCATTAAATACTGATCATTAATGATCAGTATTTAATACTGTCTGATGAGTGCGTAGCACGAAACTCGGAGCTACAGCAAAATCTTGCCTCTTTGATATTATATATATAACTAGCTCTACTCTTTAATGGGATCAGCTACTTCCTCATACAAATAATTTTACAATATAAATCTATTGTTTTGATCTCACATTTCCTGCTGTTGTCTTCCATTACGAGAATTTCACTGCTTCCTCTTTATACTAACAGTACTTGCTAGCATAAGTCCCTCTATGACTATTTTGTATCACCAAAAATGTGCCATAATTATGAAGACATTATAAAAAACAATACAGAACATCCTCATATATTTGTGTCCCTATCTTACACACACTCCTCTATATCTTATTCAGAGTTTATCGTCTGACAAATTTGGTGCTACTCACAAAGGCCTAAAAAGACTAAAAGGCGAGAGAGAAATTGCTGCTGCTAAAAAGAATAAGAAAAATAAAACTAAAGTCAAACCTTATTCTTGAAAAATTATGGTCTGATAGTTTACAATTTCCAAAAATATTTGTTTTTGTTGAACAAATTGCAGAAACAATGTCTATGACTGTATGTTCAAATGAATTTATTATTTATATGTAAATGTTTGATAGTTCTGAGAATAAATGCCTTTAATGGGTTTACAAATTGTTTAGATAATCATTAACTTATAATTTTGGGAATTAACCAATCAGAGGAAGGGAATAGTTTTCGCGCGCTTTTTGATGTTTTCATGGGGTCTCTTTGTCGTCCGTCGTTCATTTACATCGACTACTTTGACGCGACAAAGCTGATTATTTTGAGCTTTTAATATGTACTACATATGGACTACATAATAGCATCTGTGAGGAAGATTATKAGAGGGAAAGGACGATGAAATTGTTCAGCTGTGGTTTGGTCAAAACGCAATGACAGTTAACTTAACTAAAGTCATTGGTAAGCGCTTTTGTTGTTTTTGTTTAGTTAATCCCTTAAATTTGCTTAGTCTGTCTTAATGTATAGGTTCATTTTGGCCATTCACGAATGATAATAACTTTGGCAAAGCACTGGAAAGCAACATAAGAGTTTTAAACTTAACTTTTAAAGTCCTTTACAGTGAAAGACATGCAAAAATAAGACTTTTAAGTCTTAAAAGCTTAACTTATTTACGCGCACGTCTTGACAAGTAAGGCCAGTGTATCAATAGCTCAGCTTACCTTTGAAATATCCGCACTATACTTGATATTGATACACTGTGCTTCTTGTAGTTCTCGGGGTTTTTGAGAAGCTTTTTGCGSACTCTTTCCTTCAGTCTCGACTTTGGATTTTGTGACTTTGGGTAGCCTGTGTTGCCAGTAAAAGAGTGGAGACTGAGCCAGTTCCAGGAACATCCGGAAGTGTAATTTTCATTACCAAGAAACGCTTCTAGATTAGGGAATTTTACCTAAACTCATCTTCGCTTTTCATTTTGTTATGATCCTGGTGGCTTCAGCAGTAAMGGTCTCTGATATTTCTTAGAGGTAAGGATAGTTTTATTTACTTATAGTTATATTTAGCTGAAATCTTTGTGCAGATCGAGGAAATTCACACTATTGAATGTTTAGACTTATATGCTACTGATGATCGCGACGGTTAAAGCGAAATTGGTCTAATATTCAATATATAATCAGTATATTTTAGTAATTTTGTAATGTCTTGAGGTGCATKTCGAGTTACTTGTGTAAGATAAACCTTTGAAGGTCTCCGAAAATCCCGATCAACAATATTTAGAATTCGCTGATTCACACCTTTTCTTGGAATAGAAACCGGTCAGCTTACATTTGAAATATAGTTTTAAGTTTTATATTGCTTATTTTTACCTCTATCAGCCAAGTTAGATCTAATTAATACTGTAAATTTTCTTGGTCGGAATCGAAGAAAATGAAATGTAGACAAATATTTTCCGGGGAATACCCACTTTATATTTGCATATTTAAATCGATTTCTGTTAAGGGAAATCCCAGATTTGTGATGTAAATATTGCATGTGGTACWTTGTGTAATCTAATCATGTATTTCTAATTAAAATATTCTATGCAAAGTTGTTGTTAAAAAGAAGACAGCAGGCAATAAATAATCTGATTTCAATKCAACAGTGATTTTCATTTTTTATACTATTCAAGTTGATCAAAGAACTCCTTAATAATGTAATAATTTRTAATTATGTATTTCTGTTATTGTAAATTATGGAGAATTATCATATGGTAATTAATTTTGATTTTTGTTTTGAATTATATTTTTTGTACTYTTTAGCTTCACATATGGAGACATCTAACCATCAAAGTAGTGATGATGATATAGAAGTCATTGAAGCTTCTACAAGAGAAGATGACAAATCAGATGATGATGATGACAATGATGWTAATGATAGCAAATCAGAGGAATCTGATGACCCTGGTGATAACTTTCAGCTACCAAAACCAGTTGAAACCAATGCTACAAATTCTATTAAAGAAACTCAGATGAGTTTTGAGGACAAAGCTAATCAGCTTCATMAGCAGTTCTCCAGTTTTCCCACAGTAATGATCAAAAGAGTTTTAAGAAGAGAAGACGTGGGAGAAGACCTTAACAAAGCTATTGCTTGCCTTTTGGAGATGAAAGGAGAAAGTGTTGCAGAGAAACAGATAGATCAACAAGGAGATAATTCAAGCAGAGATTTACAAGAGGGAATGCTCATTGAAGGAAGTAAAGAACCATACAGTTTAGAAGAGAAGGTCAAGCATTTAAAAAAAGAATTCAAATCATTTCCACCATTTCTTATAAGAAAGGTCTTAAATAGACTGGATATTAACGAAGACTTAGAAAAAGCAAAGACTTGTCTTCAAGAAATGGGAGCCAGTAAAGGACAAGCTAATGTTGGTCCAGAGCCTAATCGCAATAACTGTCAGAATAGAGGGGGACGAGGAAGGTCACATGGAAGAGGTTGGACCAACCAAGGAAGAAGGGATGTAAGCAATCAGAACCAACTACAATCAAACAATCTAGGGAACCAATCACAGGCAAGAAGTATGGGGAACCAATCACAGGCAAACTATATAGGGAACCAATCACAGGCAAGCAGTATGGGGAACCAATCACAGGCAAGCAGTATGGGGAACCAATCACAGGCAAGAAGTATGGGGAACCAATCACAGGAAAACTATACAGGGAACCAATTACAGGCAAGCAGTATGGGGAACCAATCACAGTCAAGCAGTATGGGGAACCAATCACAGATAAACTATATGGGGAACCAATCACATTCAGTCAATACAAATAACCAATCACAGTCAAGCAATGTAGGCTCAAACAATAGTAATCAATCTAACAGGAGAAATAGGAGAAACCGCAACAACCGCAACAGAAAACAACCTGTGCAACCACAACAAAATCAAGGGACATGGATGGGTCATGGAAGTTTTCCTAACCCACAATACCAGTATGGACCAGGTTATCATGGGAGGGGTGGGAGAAATCCAATGAGTTTACCATATGAAATGCATCAACAGCATTATGTTGGTCCACCTTATGGGAGCATTCCTCCATTAATGGGAGGACCACAGCATCAGTTCATGGTTCCTGGTTATCCCAATCATAATGCCCCTAATTCTAGGAATGAAGCATTTCTACATGTGTTCAATCAAAGGAACTACAGTGTGGAGGGGCACCAAGAAAGGAGAGGACCAAAAGACCAGGGTTTCATAGAACCACCAAGACCTAACAACCAGCCTCTTGAACCAAATACCCTAGTGCTACGTGGCCTGAATGAAAACACAACTTTTGACAATATCAGAAATTTTATTGAAGCAAGAACTCAGGAATTAGTGTTGGACATAGCTTTGTCTGATGACAAAAAGAATGCAATTATCACCTTGGAAAAACTCTCTGGTGAGCAAATTCAGTTGTTAAACCTTAAAATACCTAAAGGCGTGTGCATCAATCAGAAAACCTTTGCTTTTTTGTTTCTCGAATAATCTCTTTTGAAAGTTGCTTTCTGATTGGTAGCAAAGCTTCTCAGTGCACTGTCAAAAGTATTTCTCATTTTTTCCTGAACTAATTGTATGCATCTGTAAACTTTGATGCTATGATTTACTAGGCATTTTTGTGCTTCAGATTTCAACAAAGCAAAGCAAAGGGTATCACAAAGACCACTTGAAGGTGCAAATGTTTCTATAGAGAAAGTTCCTACATGCTATAGCATTATGGTAACTGGGTTATCATCACAAACAACCCGTGATGGCTTGGATTTTTACTTCTCTGCAAAAACCAAAGTTGATGTTTCAGACATTGTAATGAATGAGGACCATGCAGTTGTTACATTCAAAGACCCTAAAGGTGAGAAGGGTTTGATGTTACTTCTCTCCTGCTTCTTTTTGGATTCCTTCGTTACAGTATCTTTATTATTTTCTTGTTTCATCCTTTTTCACTTCCTCCATGTTTTCCTTTGTTGCAAGCTTTTGTTGTCTCTTGTTTTATTCTTAGTTTTAATTTATTTATTCTTTAATTTTCTCCTTTCCTTTTTTCCTTTTTTACTTTCATCAACTTTGCATGATCCTCTCTTTCTTTCTGGCATCTCTTTCTTCTCATTCTTGCTATCTTCATAGTTTGCTGCACTACGTTCATAATCTAATTCTCCATCTTTCTTAATGTGCTATTATTGTCTTACATGTATTTCTTTCATTCCTTTCTTTGCTGTTTTGTCTCTCAATGTTCTCATCTTTGTCTTCTATTATTTCCCAACATCCATTGCAGCCTCTCATTCCAAAAAATGACATGTTCTTCTCTGTTTAGCAATTGATGAGGTCCTCAAGAAAACGCCGCATAAACTTGATAAGGCAACACTCGTGGTATCAAAGTACTATCCTTTTCTGCACCATGCCAGTACTCAGAAACAAAGAAACAATAACGATATCGCTGTAGCTGTGGATCCAGACATAATGGCATTCATCAGTGGGAGCTCGCACAATGACAGACTAATCAGCTCTTTACAACGTCTTGGTTTTACTTTGAAGCACAAGGCTGGTGAAAAAATTGCTTACATCACACCTTCATCAGATAAAATGGTCGCTAGAGAGAAAGGAATTGAACACATGACAAATTTTATTCAAAAGTTCACTACATTCAATGTCGATTTTCCTAGCAAACATCAAGAGGCAGTGGTTGTTGAGTTGTACGATGCTCAACAGGAATTTGGCAAAGAGAAGACTTTAATTGTGGAATTTCAAAACCATGTAAAGATAGTTTGCCTTTCCACACAAAAAGAAGAATTGCAAAACATGTTTAGAAGCAGAGTAGAAGCCATTCAGAGCTCTGAAACAAAGAAAACACATCAAAACCATGCCATTGATGTGGAAGAAGAGAAGCTTGCTGTGTTAAAGAAATTCAATTTTATCGAAAACAATCTCTCTAAATCTAACTTTCCTGATCTAGAAGTGCAAATAGATGAGGACACTGGGAAAATAACAATTAATGGGCCCAAGAAACAGTTTTCTGAAGCGAAGATAAAGCTCTATCAATATTTAGCCAAAATGTGCGAACAGCAAATTTCATTGTCAAAAACTGTAATAGAAATGCTGAGCAATGGTCAAGGTATGGATGAAATAACTCGTCAGTTAAAACAACGCGAGATTAGTGCTGTGTTTTGTCTTGAAGAAGGTAAGAATGCTTGGAAATCTTTACAGAAAATAGTTATATAATAAATAACGTTTAGAGATCTTGTCGGCACAGCCGCTCTCATACCACCCCCCTCCCCCAAAAATTATTCTTGGCTTATTTTCGCTAATGTCCAGTCAATCAGCCAACGCCCTCTCTTATATAATGGTTATCAGAAAATAATCCAACTAGTCAACATGCAGTTTATCTTTTGTGTTTCATGCATGGAATCATTTGCATTATGTGCATTACATGGAAATGCTGCGAACAACAGGCATACGTGGATTTAATACAGCAATTTGTTTAAGATTGCTGTTTACATGCATCTTGACGCGCATGTAATTTTTACAGCTTTTCTTATAGATCTCCCTAACGTGCACTAATTCATGACATTCATGATTTAAAGGTGACGCCACTAACCCCGCCAAAACCTCGGTAGTTGGAGTGTCCCGTAAAGATGCAGATAATGCTGCTGAACTTATCCGTGGGCTCATATCTGAGGTGAAGATCAAGGTGGAGAATGAGAACAGAGAAGTGCTTAAGTCCCAAGAGTGGAGCAATTTATGTAATAAGCTTAAAGCAGAATTCCAAGTTCATATTCGTAGAAATGAGTACCAGGACACCTGGATTGCTGGACTGAATGACGATGTAAAAAGTGTCCATGACAAAATGCAGAAGTTTCTGGAACAGAACTCTATTGGTACTGAACATTTCAGCTGTCAAGATGAAGGAGTGCGTGGATATTTACTGGAAAACAGGAAAGACGACCTGAGGAACATAGAAGCTAAACTAAAACAATTCTCAGTTGTTATCAAACCTGCGGAAAAGTCCAACGAGTTCTTGATATCTGGCAGTAAAACTGGCATAAAACGAGCTCGCGAAACTCTCGATCTCCTTACCGGGCCTGTAACAATGAAAGAAGTTAGTATCCAACAACCTGGCCTAAGCAAATTTTTCTCCCGTGGACAAGGTGACAGATTAGTTAGTTCTGTTGAGCATGAACACCGCTGTACCATTCAATCGCTGTCTGCAAACCCTCCATACAGGGCTCGCGTGTCGTCGCCCGTTGATGAAAGTGATAGTGATGGTGGAGCTGCTGGGCTCGCTTCTTCACTTCAAGATGGCTTCACAAGCAACGATTCGTCAGGGGAAAGTGATAGTGAGGATTTGTTTTTTGCTAAACCGGCGCCAGCAGTGTCACCCGCCACAGGTGATACCATGATTTGTGGAAATGTAAAGATTTCCTGGAAAACAGGAAATATCATCAATGACGATGTAAGTATTTATTTCAGTGTAACTCGTAAGCCAGACTTTGCTTCATAATATGTCATTTAAAAAAAGCAAAGCAAATGCAAATAAAAGGTCATTGTCAATGCACTGTACAAATATGATTTGATTTTAGCGCAAATTTGAGGCGTAGCGACAGCACAGACAAGTTTCTAATAACATTTTGTAAATATAGACTAATTTAAGTCATTTTTTCTATCCAGGCGGATCTACTTGTTGCTTCAATACTTGGACAACTAGCGAAAGCTTTCCAGGTACAGAAAAGTTTGTATGGATCTCTAAACCCTGGCGATGTTATTACAATACCACCCCCACCTCACGTGAACCAACAATGTCTCAACGTGATTCTAACTCACTGTGCAGCCTGGCAAAGTGGGAATGCTGACCAGGTAAAGTGCTTTGGTGATAATGATGATGCTTTATTATACTTATGATGTTAATGGTGGCGGTTGTGATGATGAAATCTCTTGTCGGATCCCTATGATTGACGGCACGGGAATGCCATCACTGATCGAATTTCTAACAGTGATATTAGAAAGATTGTATAAATGTTGCCCTTGACGGTAGGCCGTTACCAAGGCTTAAGATAATAATACAGAAGAAAGTGGAAAACACGTTTCGCGTCATGAGTGTACTTTCTTGGTTTGAACTGCTCGTATGTTATCGGAAATAGAAAAAATAATCCACGTTCACAACTCAATGACAGGGAAAGCACGTAATGTATTGTATTCATTTCTTTTTATCTCTTGTTCTTCTGTTTTTGTACAGGTACTTCGATCAACGGTACAAAAATGCCTTCAAGAAGCGTTACAGCGCAATGTGCAATCAATAGCCTTCCCGGTTCTTGGTACTGCAGGACTGGGAATCCCCAAGAACGATGCTAGTCGAGTCATGATTAACGAAGTGATCAATGTAGTCAGCGGATGGAGTGGTATGTCACGCGTGAGGGATGTTCGTTTTGTGGTGTTTGATCGCGATCCCCAGCTTGTGACAGCATTCCAACAGGAGTTTGCAACGCAAAAAGGAACATCTGGTAACGCATCACTTCCTGGTCTACACGCCGGACCATTACCAAGCTTTCTTAGCGGTATGGGTATCGCATCCATTCCTCGTCAATCTGGAAATGTAGCGGTTAGTACCGTACCAGGAGACCTTCTACAAGAACAATCTGACGCTATAGTCAATATCATTGGTCGTGACCTGAACTTGAGTAAAGCCGGGAAAGTTAGCCAGTTAGTTGTTAAGATGTATCCTGGACTACAAACAGAACTGACACAATTAGGCCCACAGTCTGAAGGGTCAGTGGTCATTACCAGAAGTGGACGTGTTATTGTACACGTGGTTTGTGAACAGACAGACAGACGACATGTCCAGGCAGTCATTCAGAACTGTCTAAACACAGCCAACAATCATGGCTTACAAAGCATTTCTTTGCCAGCGTTTGGTACTGGAAGTTCGAATGTGAGTGCAATAGACAGTGCTGAAGCTACATTTGGTGCTATAGCTAACGTTCACCAACAACTGCAGAACCTACAACAGATAAGGATTGTAATTTATAAAGACACAAGCATGCTTGATACTTTTCAACGTATTGGCCAGCAACATGGGCTGTTATCAGGACTTCCCAAAGTACCAAAACATGGTGTTCGTGGAAAAGATAGACCGTTATCGCCCAAGCAGTCCACATCCATGTCATTCAGAATCTACGCGCGAAGTCCTGACAGTGCTGCTGCAGCTGAAACCTCGCTTATTAAGGGATGCTCCGACTCCTGCAAGACCCAAGTTAGTTAAATATGTTTTTATTTGTATGTTGCTATAGTTATTGTCACTTTTAACCATCATTATTACGCGATGACGTAATCTTAATCATATCATGATCATCCAATCCAATCACCAACAGTGTTGTCATCATCATCATCAACACCATTTCTAATACCATCACTAATATACATTAGTCATCATTTAGTTCTTATTGGTATTCATAGATACACATATATATTTTTGGATGGCAAACGTGGGTATACCTCAGTAAGGTCGGTGTTTTCTATTCCTATTTTCAGTTAGTTGAAAGCGAGGAAGTTTCTAAGCTCAGCGGTAGACAGCGCAATATCCTTCTAAAGAAAGCGAACAAGAATGACGTCACTATTAAGTTTGAAAACAGATCTCAACGTGTTGTGGTTCGTGGTGATTCTGATGATGTAGCATCCATGGTCAGTGATATATGGAAAGAGATCCAGGAGAGAAGTAAGAAGGAAAAAGACAATGAACAAGCTAAAGTACTCTACAAGTCAGTTCGCTGGCAGTATGAGCTCAATGGACAAACAGCATTCTTTACTAAGAGTGTTAATGCTAACATTGAAAAGGCATATGTCAATAAAGACAAAAATGTAACGGTTATAATCCGTGGTCAGAGATTAGTGGTTGATCTTGTAAGTTGTAAAGGATTTGAGAGTTCCACTGGCATAAGGATTACTGTTGCACGAACCACTGTTGGTGCGTCCAAAGATGGAGGTAAGGTCACTCTTAGATGACGTACGTTGAAATTGTGATCATCGCTAATGATAGCGTTACCATTAGCATCATCAACATCAGGAGATTGAATGACAGCATCAATCATCGTTATCATCGATCAATCATATCATCACCAGCAACAGAATTATAAATATACGGATATTATTATAATGCTATTGATCATTACTTCTAGAACCTTTCATCGTCACTCCAGATTACGCTCACCCTACAATAAACTATAATATGTTTATCACTTTCAGATATCTCCCGTCCAAAGGAGTGGGCTCCAATGCCCATGATGAATGGCAAAGAGGAGACAGTCCGTCTTTTTCCCGTCACACCAAGCTCAGAAGAATACCAACGAGTTCATGGACTTTTCACAAGTACAGGAGGGAGAGGGAACATTAGCAAAATAGAACGAATACAAAACCCTCATTTGTACGAGCAATATATGGTGCACAAGAAGAAGATGGATAAAGAGAACCTTGGAGTTAACAATGAAAGGCAACTATTCCATGGGACATCGGAGAAAAACCTAAACGACATTAATAAGACTGGCTTTAACCGAAGCTTTTGTGGGGCACATGGTGAGCGTTGTAGCTTAAATGATCTTATTTTATTCCTAACTTTAAAACCGTTGTACGATCAACAAATTGATCTCTTAATAGAGTGTATTCGTTATGTATGTACAACACGTCTTTTAAGATAACTTGCTAATTATGCAGCAGCATCCGACATAAACTAGTTAGCAAAGTAGAATGAACTCCAAATAGTCTTGGAAATAATTATACATCTGATGTTGTCTTATCTCAACAGGCACTGCTTACGGAAACGGAGTTTATTTCGCAAGAGATGCATCATATTCCATGGGTTACGCCAAGCCGTCAGGTTTCAATTCAAACAAGCACATGTATGTCGCGCGAGTGTTAGTCGGGCGATACACCCAGGGACATTCAGGGCTTATTGTTGCACCGAAAGATCCACATACAAATAGTCATTATGATTCTGTGGCTAACTCCACGGGGTCTGGCGCGAGCATCTTCGTTGTGTTTCACGATGCCCGATGTTATCCAGAGTATTTGATCACTTTCCGTTAGTCTGTCAATGCTCATGGCATCATGATCAACAACGGCAACAGCAACTTAAAGACCAGTGACATCGACGACAACATTGTTGTGAATATTGGTCGATTGATAACAATTTTAACTAGAGTATTATAGTATTAGTAATAGTAGTAGTATTATCATAAATGCTCGATGTTATCTTGAGTATTTGATCACTGTCAGTTAGTCTGTCAATGCTCATGGCATCATGATCAACAACGACAACAGCAACTTTAAGACCATCGATATATCACTAGAGATCTTTAACACAGCATTTTAATTTCTCAAATGTTAGTTTGACTCGGGCGGTTTTGATGGATTTAGCTGTATTTAGAATATTGAATACTAAATGGCATTATAGATTATTGAATGAAATCATAACAAATGCACTACTGATCTAGTCCTTACATCATAGCAATATGTTTTCATCAAAGGCTTTGTAACAAGAAAMTAGTTTAATTTGTATCTCAAATAAATTGCATCTATTAACTCTTTCTAGGACATTTCTTAACGTCTATCATGTATAGGGTGGTTTTCCTTGAATCCGTTATACACTTTATTAAATAGAGGATATTACATGGGCGCGCGGAGATACGGATTTTATCTTCGAGTGTTGAAAAGATCTCTCACGAGTAACATGTTATTTTCACTAGTGAAAATATCAATTTTACGTAATGGAGAAATATAGGTATTTCATAGATAATTATATGATAAAAATGCTTAATATTATATAAGTATCTATCAGTAATCATTAGTATTTGATTAACCACCAATGAACTTACATTGACACAATATTGTGAGTATGGCCTGTATTTTCTTTCAATTTCTATTGATTCTAAGGCCATGTTTACAGGAGTTGGGTGACACTTTTGTTGTCTTTTTCCTGGAGGATTTAAAACAAAAACGTTGGAATCTACTTCCTAGGAGCACTATGTAAAATAGTTATCTAAATATCGTTCTAATGCAGCATCCTCGTCGGTGGTTTCTCGATCAAAGAAGCTACTTTTTTTCGTGTTTTGTATGGCTACCAACAATCACTGTTTTAGGCCTGTAAACCGCTTTCGATTTAAATCCTCCAGGGAAAAGAAAACAAAAGAATTGATTCCACTACCTAAAGACACCTTACACTGATTAAAATTAGAGCTGAGACGTTTTGCTGAGGCATGAAGATCTAAATATAACTCATGTAAGGCCGACGTGCATTTGAAATCGTTTGCTTTGTTTTACAAATTGTTGAAAACTTCTTTCTGATTGGTTCTAAATCAAAGATGGCGCGAAAATGTTATCGATTGCACGAGAGACTGTAAGCATGATAAGAACGTCTCTCAAACCCACACTAAGTCAGTGATTCACTAAGCGGTGCACACGGACGGATGAAGCGTACTGAAATCTGAAGCGTTAGGTTTGCAGTATCTTTTTACCAAACTCTTTTGAACATGAAAATCTATTGTGACGAAAATGCGATAAAGCCAGCCGCACTGCCAACATTGGAGAGTATCAACAGTCTCTATCGCAAGAAAGGAAGCGAACTGCTCTACATCGAAGGATCGCGTACCTATGACACACTTCGCTATGGGAAAAGAGATTCTAAACTTCCCTTCGAGTTTACCTTCACAGATAGGCACAACCACAAATGGAAAGTCGTAATTGATCAAGAAGACGACACGGTCAATCTGTTTATCCCATGTGGTACCCAGATGCTTTGGTATGGAGCTGATGAGAGTCCAACAAGAACCGGCTCTGATGCTCAAACACATTACGCATCTGTACAATTCAGTTGGCAGGATAAAACCTGGCTCCCACCTTACCACGCCGGGGTCAGAATTGCATTCCAAGGATACAAAGATAAAAGCTCTGGTGAGTGGTCTGTGGATACAGAGCGCTGGAACAACATTTTGGACTTGGCTAAGAAAGGAACTGAAGTTTCTGGCGCGGTTATAGAACAAGTGGAGAAGGGAGTCGCGATAGCCGCAGCAATGTAAACAAGAACTCTTTAATGAAATAGATGTTCAYTACAACGATTTGTAAACCGTTTCCTTTAAAAGACAAATTTAATGAAATTGACTAATGGACTTCTTCAGTTCTTGTTTCTAAAAGTTAACACTTTTATGTTATCAACCATTAACAATTCTTGTATRTAAGATGAATTTCTCAGGCAAACAAAAGAATATTGTGACAGGAATGACTCTTCTTTAGCTATAAAGTTGGCTGAATGTTTATGAATGTTTTTATACTGAAAAAGGAAATTTAATCTATAGAAGTTGAAAACTTTTGAAAAGGAAAAGAGATTTAATTTGAAACACTCGAAAATTCAGTAAAATTTAACTTTTTTTGACGGTTAATACTTTGTTAATTTCGGTAATTATAGATCACTGAAATAGGGKTGTGAGTACACTTTTCACTACCAAAGGATCATACAAAGTCGGGTACTCCACTGAATCTTCTACGTCTCAGAATGCGGAACCCAGTCAAACCGGAAAGGGCTCCTTAGGATTACTTAGGCGTCGTGAGAACGCAAGCAAGGCATAGAATGTAGTTCTAGTATGAGAACTTATTGAAGTTTATGAAATRTCTAATGACTTTCAGAAAACTATGTTACCATCAAGTCCGTTTGTGTAAACCTGTTGCAAGGAATTCATTAGTTTCACTGAATGTTTTCAATTTACGACGCATGATTTGTCGCATGATTTGTATCATTTACATGTAGGCGTGTTTGGCGTACAAAGGATCAAACTGAGAAGAATGTTGTATCGGAAATGCCTTGAGAGGACGCAATGATGATCAGCAGCATCTAAATATATCAAATCACTGTTGACACACTGACCGAGGCACTGAAGACCGGCTGAACGAAACTGAAGCATTGTTAATCGTGCTAAKAAATCATGGGCTGCGGCAGACTCGGTGATGTTGTACTGCTATCRATTCTCTGCCTCWTCGTCGGAATTCAATCGGAAAGCTGCAAATTAGTGGAAAATACATCTGACAAATGTAGAAGCGAAAACACCATCAAAGTTAATGAGCAGATCATTAGAAAAGGTGATCCTGAGACGACGAGGATCAAACTTCCAGGAGATCAAAAGCAAGTGAGGTGGTATTGCGGATCAACAGAAGAATTTACAARGTGGAATACACCAGCAAACCAACTACGAGTCTTGTACCAAAGTGATGGGTCCATAAGGTGGTCCGTGTACAAATGCGAAAATCTTTCTGGGCCTAAGAAAGCTGGCTTGAAYTGTGCAGTTCCTGAAACTACCGAATATTGCCCTAAATTCGARGGGGTGAACGGAAGTGCTTGTGTTTTTGAGATGAAGAAATCCACTTCACATGTGAATCAAAAGACAACGACTGTATCTGTTACAGGAACTCTAAGAGCGGAAGTCGAAAAGCAGGCCGGTCCTCTTACAGCCAAGGGTTCTGCCGAGGTAACAGGTGGGGTCTCCCATTCTGTCACRAATGCGAAAATTGTGTCGTACGAATCCCGGTACTTTCTTGTCATCCCWCCAGGGTACTCGTTCTGTGCGTTTACCAATAACACCAGTGTTCGTGATATTAATGCTCCGACTGGGTTTCGATGGAAGTGCTCATTCCCTTCGTACGTCCAGGCAGCGGAAAAGTTCAATAATGGACGCTGTTCATCCCTTGAGATCTGTGYTGTAGGTGTATGTGGAAGAACTGCTGGATCAGGAACTGACTCGGTCCATTCTAGTGCCATCGTTCTCATGGTTTTTAGTATAATAGCTATCATGAACTGTGCGGTCTAGTGACCTGCATCACAGCAACGTATGTCCCTATGATGTCTGTTTCTGTAAGGCTGTAGAACAGGAAATCATTTATTTTGTATCTCACAAACCCATTAACTCTTTTTAGACATTGATTAACATATGTAACACGTGTGTGTCTTTAAAAATAAAGATAACTTTGCTCATTATTTCTTTATGTTAAAATTGATTCAGCTCGCACAATTGTTAAGTAAACAATTGGTTTTAAAAGGTCATTTCAGTTTCAGTCAATCATCCTAGTGGTTTTAGTAACAAACACAAAATGTGGGTGTTGTTGTCTTTCAATCTCTACCATTTCTTTACTATTATATGGTATAATGTCTGCATTACGTTAATAATAATTCTTTWGTCCAAGTACAGCGTATTGTGCGGCTAATTCAGGGCCGAGTATCCTCGTTGTGTTAATTACTTAAGTATTGAGGCGCAAATTATAATATTTCGCATTGCATTGTGGTTTATATTCAGTACAAACATCTTTTGTTCATATGACCAAATATGACGTTGTTTGTACCGAAGCTAGACCACAATGCAACGTGATTTTGTGTTTCAGAGAAGGTCTTTGAGAATGAAATCAGAGACTGGGCTGGACAATTTTAACTGTCTTCTMTCTACAATGTATGTTCGTTTCTATCTCTTACATAACTTGTACAACGCTTTCATAGGTCATTTTGATAAATTCCTTCTTTATATTTAAGTGCAAATATTCGATTTCTCTATGCCAAAGTTTGGTTTAATTTAAGGGTTAAAAATTATTTTGCTTTATGTACATATATGGCTCATCATTCACAAGAAATTAGTTTTCTTCCCTGTAGGACCTGTAGACCATGTAGACCATTTAGACCATGTAGACCATGTAGACCATGTAGACCATGTAGACCATGTAGACCATGTAGACCATGTAGACCATTTAGACCAAAGATATTTTTGAAGGAGCTACTTCTTAAGATAGCATGCAATTGAAACGGAAAACCAAATCAATACTGGCATGTAAGATTCCTATGTATTAAGATAAATATTGGTTTTCAAAAATATCCTTTGGGATATGCCGGTTGGTGGGCCTTGCTAATTTACTCTATAATTTCACTCTTTTGTAGTTTACCAATGAGTATATCAAAATAGTCGCTTTCCTTTCACGGTTCAATGAAAATCACTATTGGATATCGGGAGTTGTTATGGCAACTCTCCTCCCATATGACCATCAAGTGGTCTTTGTTCTGCATGCCTGGGAAAGCACAATCATTCACTAGACAAGATGTGACCACTCCCCTTACCCCGACATTGTCGTTATTATTCGACACCACTCAAATAATAAAATCGTCTATCTATACTATAGTTTCATGCAGTCAGTTGAAAATTACATATTGCATCGTATTGTGTCAATCCAGTGTTATTTTATTGGTGAAGATATTAGATAACATTACAAAAAGTGTTTTAATTATCTAAATTACGTTAGTAAGAGTGATAAATTCGATATCCAAAAAATTACAGCTGTTTAAGGAGGTCATCTACTTCTGACTCCTCTTTGGCACTATCCTGTTGGGTAGCGGCAGGAGATTCCTCTTTGGGAGTCTCTTCGGGCTCATCCTTGACCTCTTCTGGTGCTGCTACCTCTGGTTTTTCTGG